TGATAGTGTAGGTATGTAAAAGAAGCTTAACTAAATAATTTGGCACGTTTGACATAGAGACAAAAATAAAAAAAATGCACAGAAATAAGTAAGTAAGTAGTCGTAGTAGTGGTCAATCTATTGCAAGCCAATTACCGAGGCACTTGTTAGCAATGCAATTAAAAAAGCCCAAAGTGATGAGAGTTCAGCGTTTTTCTAAATAGAATAAGAGAAGAATACATTTTCTGATACAGTTAAAAAGATAAAAGAATGAGTCTTAACTCAGTATACCTGATACGACCTGCAAGCTTTCAAGAGGAGAGCGTATCTTCACCTTAAAGGCCGGCAACGCACCTGTAACGCCCCTGGGTCTGCGGGTGTCTATGGGTGACGGTAATCACTTACCATCAGGTGATCCGTCTGCTCGTTTGCCTCCTGTCACATAAAAAAAATACCTGCCAGCTAAGAGCGTGTCTGGGCACTGAATTTCAGCGGGCACTTTGTATTTTTATTTTCACAATAAGGAAGCTCTTGGCGTGTTCTCACCTGATGGTAATGCTAAACTTTTTTCTGAAAGTAATCTATAGAAGCATATAAAGTTACGTTCTCTTCCCGATAACCTTCGAAAGGCAATAAATTATTCGGTAGGATTCCCCAACATTTCCACTGAATAGACTATTGCTACGAAAATGCTGCCGGAAAAAATATCTTAGAAATATTTTCAAGAACGACATATCTTTTAGACAAGACAATAGGCTATAAAAACTCTTTATACCTAATTATGAACATTGGATTTTTTATGGATGCATGTATGAATTATATTCGATGAAAGTTGAAATTATACACTCAGTGTATTTTTAATTTAAAGATCTGAACCAGTTTTTGTCTCCAACGGTTAGCGTGGCGAGTGTAAGGCAAACTCTACATTTGCCTCTGGTAAATTAGAGAGGGTCATACTCCTGCAGTGGAGGGAGACTAGATCTGATGATGATGGTGTATTCAGATTTGGCTGTGAGTGACTGAATCCAACACAGCCAAAAAGTTTGAATTTAAGCAGCTCATGACAACAGCATTTGAACTATTTACATGTTACTGGTAAGATACGTTCAAAAATCAACTCCAATTAATAGAATACTCCAAAGAAACGCAAAGCTTTGATTAGTACCAGCCGACGTAAACGAACCTATATCGGCGCACGCGCATTCCCGCGGGTCATAAACACGGCGCGGTGGAAAGCGCTGGACCCGCGCCAGGGCAACAGATAGCGTTTGTAACTGTTATTGAAACGCTAGTAGGTACGTTATCAGTTCACCAAATTGTAATCGGAGAAAGGGCTAGGACTCAAATCCCATGAATTCTAAGACGATAGAAGATGTGATCAAAGAGTCCTGAATAAAGAGATGAAAATTGCGGAGCCTAAAAATCCGTATAATGAAAATGAACGTCATAATATGACGATTAGTTTTGTGAAATCACCTTTTGTCTTCTATCTATGCTATGGGGACTGAAAGTACGACACACGCCATATCCTAGCTACCTCTGAAATGATTTAGTTTAGTTAATCAGAACAAAATATTTTTCCTTTTCAGCTGATTTCAAGGCTATGATGACCTAATTTGTCTGATTAAGACAAATGAAAAATGCATATTAAGCAATATAGGTACTATTGTATGTCCCACTGGGAAATGAAACACAGAACCTTCGAGTCTAATTTTACTTTAGTCGCATTGCACATATTAGCTTTTCCACCAAACAGTGTCTCAGTGACGCTACTTCGAAATCGTCATCGCGTCACTATCAAGATATCAGTGCATCAAGCGAAATTTTCCGCCAACAACTTGCCGTTCGTTATCTGTACATACGTGACTAGTGGATGCACGTATAGTCGCTTGCGGAAGGTCGGCGTATCGACCGAGTTGCGTAACTGGGTAGTACTGGGAACTGTGTCAGCTGCTGAATGTCAGCTGCTTTAATTGAGGACTCCGCAGGGACGTATTGTGGGCCCTAACGACCGTAATGAGCTGACGGAACAAAAGGGTAACAGCGTCATCAGAAACATGCCACAAAAGGACTTCTTTTGTAACTATGGACTCTTGTTTTCAGTGTTAGGCAGCGGCTACTGCAGGTTTGTAACGAATGGGAAACTTTTTAAAAATGCATGTCTCTTATTATGTGCATTGAAACTCGAAAACGATTCATCCTAACATCATTGACTAGGTACCTCAAGAATTGTGTTTTATTTAAAAACAACCTATTGCCTACCCACTAATAAATCTAATGCATTGTCATTGCATTACATCTTGACAGTTTATTAGCCCAATATCATTTCAATAATTCTTATTGGCTGCGGCTCAAATTTTAAAATACCGAGTCAAGATCGAGAATCTACAGGGCAATGAAAAAGCTGAATATAAGTATGTGTTTCATTTAATTTTAAAACTTAAAGACCGACTGTACTTGATTTATGTTATCGACATGAATTTGGTGGTTCATTTTGACAATGACCCTATTAAAATAATTTCCTAAACATGCAAACAAAAATAGCGGAAATACAGGGTGTTTGGCGCATCGTGTGCCAAAATGATTTGGCGGATAGAATGGGTCATTTCCTATATTTTCAGCCCCCATAACACGTTCCATGCCAGGCGGCTACTTTTATATTATTTTTTTTAGTAATTTCACCAAAATACCCAAATCGCATCATTTAATTTCGATTTAAAAAAAAACTACAAGGTGTAGCCTCAAAGTAAATATTTTGTTTTGACGTGCATTGATGTAGGGTTGCATCAAATCTAAATTTACTGCCAAATATCAATATAGGAAATGACCCATTCTATCCACCAAATCATTTTGGCACACGATGCGCCAAACACCCTGTATATCCAAACTCAATACGAGTGCCGGCTCGTACCAAACGCGAAGGTCGCAATGCCACGCTCGGGAGAACACCCGCAGGGTCCCAACTCACCCCCATTTTTAAAAGGGGGGAACCCCCTCTTACATAACGGCTTCAGCGTGACCTAGATTTGGAGTACTAAGTGGGGGCTAAAGCTGCTAAGGTCTGAAACTTTTTGCAAGTTCAAAATTAATTACATTTGTGAATAGCAATTTAATTGCTTAAATTGAAATAGTTGATGAACCGATGAACTTGGCTCAAGCACAGAGCTGGAACTGGCTGTAGGAAAACTCCTATCACGCGCAGGAGCTGACTGCATTTGACTGTTTTAATGTTTTGCCAAAAGGTTTTTCCAAGCCTCAATTTGTCCTTTTTTGCCTAACTACTTAATGATCGCTATGGACTTTTATACGCATCGCAGTTTCTAGCTAGGCTAGTAAGGCAATAGGTTCATAAATATATACAGCCACATTCGTATTTAAGCTACCCGACCCGCAGTGAGCCCCCACTATTTGGGAAAGGGAGACCACCTCCCGTTATGCAACCGCTCTAGCCTGAACGAATGGCCTAGATTCTGATGCGCTAAAGGAGTTAATTCAGTAATTAAATACTAATAAAACTTGCAAAATCCTGAATTTGAACAAGTAATGTGTAACCCAACTAGATAAAGTGCGAAATGAGCAAATTACATGAAGTTTTAAGGACGCATCTATTTTTTTTTGTGACAGGAGGCAAATGAGCAGACGAATCACCTGATGGTAAGTGATTACCCTGTCTATACACCCGTAGTCCCAGGGGCGTCACCTATTGCATTTCTCTTTTCTCTTCATTGTCTTTGTACTTTTTTTTAGTTGTCAAAAAAATAATTTTTCTTTCTTTCTTTCTATTGCAGAAAAACTCACCGAGAGCCGCCTACGATGGTTTGGTCGTGTCATGAGACGAAGACCATGTCGTAGAATAGGCCTTAGCACTGCCAGATAATAAGAAAGGTAGAGGACGCCCACTGGCCACCTGGCGGTCTACGGTGGCCAAGGACTTAGAGCGTGTCCAGAAAATGTATCGACAACCCAGGACAGATTTTCCTGGCGCCTCAAACAAGGACAGCCTACCCCAAATAAAGAGAAAAAGGGCTAAGGAAAAGAAGATTGGAAAATTGTAGTAAAAGATTACTTCCACGCGANCCACGCGGCTCGAGTGTAATTTCAAACTCCCATTCTCAAAAAGATGGAAGGGGTCCATTTAGTTACGTAACGTTTTCAGCATGACCTAGATCTAGATTCTGAGTGCTTGCAGTGGCTAGCTTGGTTATATAACTTGCTCAACTGCAGCAAGGAGAGCAATGTTTTCAATTTCTGTATGAATTCAATGTGACAATAGAAAGGACTAGAGTTAGCTTTCAATCCTGAGTGAATGAATTGAACTTAAAGAAAACCAAGTCACTGATGATTACTAGTAAAAAAGCTATTAATGTGGTAGTTTGAGACATTTTATGATGACTCTACTATCACAAAAGTTCCTTATTTCTCCGTAAAGTAGTAGGTAACCCTACCAAAACTGAACGGTTCGCGTGCGTAATCAAAATATTTACAACTTCCGAATTCTTCGCGTTGAAATGTTCGTGTTTTGCTTCAGGTCTCGTAATACTGGTAACACTATTTTAGTTAGCTGACTGATGGTATACATAGATGAATAGTTTCCGACGGTAATGGAACTCGTGAAATAAATAAGATTAAATTTTTGTTTGGACTGAAATAAAAATGTTTTGGATGCTTTAATCAGATCCATGGGAATTATAATACGACGAAAAAAAACTGGCCACTCTTCACAGATACCTAGGGAAATACAGAAACATGGTCGCTAAAAACNCTAAAAACTATTTATAATGGCAACCTTTAATGACATTTTGTTTTTTCAACTGCAAACATTTTATGTGTTTCAAGTATAAAATAAAAAAGCAATAATTACCATAATTTGAATGAAATATTTCCAATAGCCCTTAAACTTTTTATTGGCGAATTCCATAATTCGCATGGACGTAGTTTCACTGATGTTTTGTAGAACTATTAGCTGTATAATATACAGCCTATTAAATGTTATTAATAAAAAAAATATATAAATAACTTACGCGTAGTAACCGTAGGCGATGGCGGCGTACCATAGGAAGAAGATGATCATTTTGCTCGAACCTAAAACAAATACAATGTTACAGAAATGTTACTTTACTATCAATATAAAAGAAAAAACACACAACTTCATAGATATAAGCCGAAGCGTTAAATTATTCAGGCTTACAATAATCTTAATCAAAACACCAAATTGTAATTTTATCAATATTGTTCATAGCAAAGATTCATATTGATGAGTAGGTGCTTTTGAGCAGTAGGCGTTACATCAAAAATAAGACAAAGTAATCGCTTACTAGCGATAAGACCGCCTATTTGTACCGTTTCGATTTGTTTTTTTGGGTTTTGTGTGGTGTTCTATTCAATCATCATCATCATTTCAGCCACAGGACGTCCACTGCTGAACATAGGTCTCCCCCAATCCACATCGCACGGCTGGTAGCGGCCTGCATCCAGCGCCTTTCTGCTACCTTTATCAGGTCGTCGGTCCATGATTCGGTCGGTTCTATTCAATAGAAATCTTCACCAATGGAAAATAATTCAAGTCTACGATTATATTGTACCTATTTCATAGGGACGTTACCGCAAGGTGCTTTTGTGGGCTTTATTGGTGTGTATGCAAAGGCAAAATTATGTAAAAATATCACTTTTAAACGTACTCACGGATACCCAAACATCATTATTAGTTTGGCGTGTCTTGATTTTCACAAACAATTTGTATTATTGATAAACTACACATTTTTGATCATGTGTAGTTAATTTTACTAAAATATTGACATGATTTCTATTTTGGTTCCAACGTCTTTGATGTCAAGCAACATGACGTTAGCATGACTTTGAGAAGTTTCTTGATGAAACTTTTTAACTGTTTTTGGTATGCATTATGATTGTCATGCAGTTTTTTTTCCTTTGCTTTTTTTGTGATATAAAAAGTGGGCACTTCTTTAGGTAATTTTTATTGCCAATCACTGATTTTTTGTTCTTCTTTTTGATTTTACGATTGATAAATGTGCACCGCATCTATCCAGGCATTTTATCAATATTAGACGATTAATCCATACATTTATCGTCTAAAAAACCGACGATAAAAATACGTCGTGGGGCGTATGTCGGGGTAATGTTACCCGCAGCAAAAACTTTTACCTATCGGGTCTACTTTTAGCTTTTACACGATAGAAGAGCTAAATTTTGTAGCGTTTGCTAAATATTGAGTAATTTAAATGAAAATTGCTTACCTTTTGTATAATTTCGAATATTTTTAGAGATTCCCAGAGATTCAATAATTTATATGTCACACAGAAAAATCTATATGGCCGTGGATATGGTTTTAAAATAGTATTTTAATATTATTGCTATGATTTACCTACGCATTTAACACTAACACCAAAATTCAAGAGTGATTCTGCAAATACGAAAGCAAGAAAAAAGATTTATTTTATTTTATTTACATTTATAAAAATAATTTGAATTATATCCTAAAATAAGGAGAGCTCACTGGGGCACAGCGTAAATCCGAAAATAAAAAGATTATGTTTTTAATAACGTGTAATATAAACAGTTCTATAATTACAATATTATATCAAAATATATTATAACTACAAAATACCATGCATATTTCTAATATAGTAAACATAATAACATTGCGATTTTTGAGCAAACTCTAACAGTACGGTAAAAATTTGCGGCTTTTCTTCTTTATTATTTACAAACGTATCGTTAAATGAATTTCATCATAATAATTATAAATTTCAGAATAGAGTATTTATAATCACATGTTTTGCTTATACATATATCTTACCTTAAAAATATTGTGGAATATTTAAATTTTAGTAACTCGTTAGTTTATTTTATATGCCATTAATTGATTGACGGTAAAAATGTTTTTATGTATAACATGCTCATAGCCCAAGTATAAGGCCCAGAACACACGGTGAAACGCAACTGCAACTACTAGTTACTTTTGAGTTGCATCTAAGTTTCTGCCATAGCGTCCGTTGAGACCACACAATATGACGCGACCGGTTTGAAACGCGTTGCAAGTGACGTTTTATAAAATGACACAACTTCTGAAGTTGTAGCTGTTTAACTTTAGAATCGACAGAGAAACGCTCTAGTATTCTTAATAACGTATGTATTGCGATTGTATAGCTGTAGCTGCCATTACAAACAGCAGTGATTGTACCACGATAGCATAATGGATATTAATGAAAAATGCCTATCACAAGCACATAAGGGCACAGTGTTTAGTCGATGTTGTCTGTGCAACACATCAAGAGGCATAGACATTAGGTATCGGCTTTAATTGGCCTTATTTGTGAGCAAAATAAGGGCTACCGTATTTGAAGACCACACGGGAAAAACAAAGAATGTCAAAAAACTACAATTATGAGAAAAACAGTTTTTAAAGTAATTTGAAAGTCTATATTTCTTTCATTTTAGACTCTTTTATGTGAAATATTGAAACAACTTATTACTGTGTTAACATATGCTTTGCCTGTATTCTAAAACTCGATTTGTTTAAATAAGTTGTAAGTGATGGTCCATAACATAGCCGTTTTTTGCCATGGACAAACAAACACAAATTGAACTATTACAGTTGACTATATACGATGATTTTTCTCAATTCTGATTTTTGAAATAGAATGTTTCCCTAAAAAGCTAACAGAGTGCATTAAAAAGTCAGTTTCACAAAAAAGGTGACATTCATTGTTTTTCCCGTGTGGTCTTCATTTATGCTTACTAGTTGGCAACACTGGCGAGATAGAGCTTCAAGCTTCAAACTCACCAACGCGTGCAGATCGCAATCGCCGGCTAGTGTGTAAACACACAAGTCTAGTAATGCAGGATTTATTTATTTATACTTTAACTAGCTGACCCGGCGAACTTTGTTTCGCCTTAATGGCAATAAATAAGCAGACTTTTTTTTAATTTCGAACGGGATAAAAAGTATCCTATGTCCTTCTCCTGGCTCTAAACTACCTCCCTGACAATTTTCAGCTAAATCGGTTCAGCCGTTCTTGAGTTATAAGCGAAGTAACTAACACGACTTTCTTTTATATATATACTAGCTGACCCGGCGAACTTTGTTCCGCCTTAATGGCAATAACGAACGGGATAAAAAGTATCCTATGTCCTTCTCCTGGCTCTAAACTACCTCCCTGACAATTTTCAGCTAAATCGGTTCAGCCGTTCTTGAGTTATAAGCGAAGTAACTAACACGACTTTCTTTTATATATATAAATAGATATAGATATATAGATGCCAAAATTTTAACATTAGGCGAACTTAATGCCTTTAATCTAGGATTGCCGCGTGAAAGGTCCTAAGTGGCGCCAACCAGTGAGCAAATACGGTAGCCTTTATGATCTGTTGAACGGTGTTTACATCGTGCGGTCAGAAGGCGGTGGCGAAGCCCTGGCGCTGCTGAGACACGTACACGCGGCGGCACTCCATGTCGTCCGCCGGCCGGTTGTAGGCCTGCCATACTGGTGTCCCGATGAACAGCCGCTTCACTTTGATGTGGTTCTGGAACATAGATAATATCACCAGGTTATTTAGTCGCCACTGCAAGCACGACTCTTTTCCTAATGTATCAGAGGGAAACGGAGGGTTCGTTATATAGTGTGTCCGGGCATGTAGTGATCAAACTTTATGAAACCCTTAGAGCGCTTGTAGACGTCCGTTTTTTTGACCGGACAACGGCCCGATTTTTCCACCGGATTAAGCGGTGGCGTATGGTTTATAATGAACGTGTGCACATGCATCGGACATAGGTCCGGCGAGAAAATTGACAGCTAACAAAGGATATCCGTTTTTTGACGGTCCGTCGTCCGGTGAAAAAACGGACGTCTACAAGCGCACTAAACGCCCTTAAAGTTTGATCACTACATGCCCGGACACACTGTATACTCAGGACAAATACACCACATATACACCTTATATTGCATTGCAGTTGCCTTCTGGCAATAAGTCACTGATGTAAGATCCACAGTTTAAATTGGTTACTTTGTGTGTATGTGTAATAGACATAAATTACTGTCAGGATGTCCCAAAATTAGCGAGTCACACTAACGTTGGAGGTAGCTGGAGAGTGAAGCTAATCACTTCGACTCTATTCTCGACGCTATAGTCTGGTCTGCGAGCACGGGCGCCCGTCGCAGTCGCGACAGCAATATAATTACGCGCGAGCGATAAGGACGGGTAGCTTGGGGTCATTGGACAAAATTCTACGTGCTCACAGACCGGGCTTTGCATTGATACAAGAAATGTTATTTTTTATTACTATTTAAATTATACCTTGGTGTCAAGAGTGAACCGATGGTAGATGGCTTTAGGCAGCACCACCAGGTCGCCAGGAGTCACCAGGATGCGGATCCACTGGTCTTTGTCGTCGCGCACGTCGAAGTACCCGGAGCCTTCCAGGACGAACCTGGAATGAGATTTCAGAAGCCTTAATTTAAATAGGCTAAAATTATATTTAACCGAGGAAAAAGCGAAAAACGGAGGTTCTCGAAACGAAACGTATATTTGAGTTACGATTGAGGCATAGTTAAATGACATTGTGAAAGTTTATTAAATTAGTCCAAGGCTGGCATGGAATGCTTTAGACTAGAGATGAAACGGATATCCGGTAACTATCCGGTAGGCCGGATATCCGGCTTACATTTACTATTCGGCCGGATACCGGATAGTAACTCACTATCCGGCCGGATACCGGATATTAAGAAACTACGACAATTTCCTATTCATAAAATGAAATAGGACATTAATCTTTGAAGTAAACATCAATAAAATGGCTTATAATAATGACGGCTTTTGTTTAAAGTCCAAAAAGTTACAAAAAGCTATATTGAGGCCTTTAAAAAAACTAATTTATTTTTCTGGGATATTCACTCTAATGACGAATGCATAAATAATCTGTTAAGTCGAAATATTGCCAAATAAAATAGGCGATCTTTTTTTCACTGATGGTCTGATGTCATGATGCAGTTCAGTCAGATTATGCAGCAAGTAAACTAATTGAATTTTCGCTATTCAATTACACACTCACGATGGCAACCGAAATCGTCCGAATTGATCTGCCCCCTAGACAAGTGGCAAAATCTGACATTCTATTCGGACTGATTCGATTTTCGAAAAGTGTGACTAGTCTAGTCTACTAATAGACCCACTGATCGCGTTCGAAGCACCTGTGCGGCGCTAAACTCGTCACGACATGTAACGAGACAATGGGCCAACTATCCGGCCGCCGGATATCCGGCCTAGCAGCTGGCCGGATATCCGGTATCCGGCCAAACAACTATCCGTTTCGTCTCTACTTTAGACATGAAGAGGCTCTAGGAATCTGCCTATTTATTTCAACTTTAATGCTTATAACACTTACCTAAAAGTAAATGTAGTAAAATTTTTCAACAGAATGTAAGAGGTGATATATATTCTATTCAAAAGAGTTTAGCCTCCTATATTCTGTTGAAAAATTTTCTTCCTCATTTCTCCTGTACCTTCTACATATTAAAGTAATTTTTTATTTTTGGTAAATAAGTAGGCTTTTAAAAAGCCCTCTCAAAATACTCCCAGTCTCCCACCAATTTTAACCACAGCTTTGGGACAAACGTTGTGTAAAATCATTTCAATAATCAGGACCATTCTAACTTTTTACCTGATTTCTTCATCAGTGTGAATATGTTCGGTGTAGAATGACTTGAGTTTCTCTTCGTATGCTTGCCCGAAGCATTCTTTAGAGCACACTAGCTCATCTTCGTAACTGTAGCCTCGGTCCTTCTTGATTTTGTCGAACACACCATCCGTAGCATAGGTGTCCACATTCAGCTGGAATCACAAAATTAGAACTTTGATGAACGAATTTAGATAGATTTTGGTAATTGATTTTTATTATTTTTATAGCTAGAAAGCAATTAAAGGAAAAAGAAAATACAATGTTTGTATATGGGCTAATGCAAACAATAATAAAATATGTGCAGATTAACAGTTATTCTTTGTATTCACAAATCTATCTTCACTATGGGTTTCTGGAAAGATTGAGAATATTCCTAGGGATTAAGTAGACTACCTAAAATTGTGACATAAACTTTTCCTGCTTGAGTGACTGTCTGTCTATAAAAACCAATTAGCTTTTTAAGGAAAATGCTCACTTGAAAATAAAGGAAAACATGCTAGACAACAATATTCTGTACCTATAACTCTAGACTTGGTTTATGATAAAATATGTTTGAGATTTTCCTCAACAGATTGATAAATATAATATTCACTCATAGATAGACCTTATTCTTATATGGACAAAGTTAGTGCCTCTTAGTTAACAGTGAAAAAAAAATAGGAAATAAAAAATAACTTAATAAGTGATTATTCTATTCATGCATAAGTGTTGTAGTTTACATCTTATTCCTGGTCAAACACTTTTATCAAATTAAGACAGACAAATCTAGACAATGAATAAAACATAAGCACACTAAAATTTTGTTCTAGAAAAGAGAACCTAAGAGAGTTATAGAAAATCAGCGATGTTAAATACTTTGAATATACAGGGTGGCTGGTAATAAGTGCACATTATAATAAGGAATTTTAAGTAAAGGTTATTTGCAATAAATTTTGTTATGGTTATGCATCAAAAATACAACCATCTATGAATTACTAGCTGACCCGGCGAACTTTGTTCCGCCTTAATGGCAATGAATAAGCAGACTTTTTTTTAAATTTCGAACGGGATAAAAAGTATCCTATGTCCTTCTCCTGGCTCTAGGGAGGTACCCTGACAATTTTCAGCTAAATCGGTTCAGCCGTTCTTGAGTTATAAGCGAAGTAACTAACACGACTTTCTTTTATATACNATACAAACAAAAAAACTGAAGTATTCGAAAAATTGTAGTCGTGGTAATGTAAAATATCATAAGGGGTGTCAATTTTCGACGAATTTCATAACTTATTGTGTAACTTAAAAAATAATTGAGATAGATTTTTTTCTTATTTTTCCTAAAGCAGTCATGACTAGGTCCACCCTGCGGCGCCGGCTTATCCTTGAATTTTGGGACACGTTGTATATAGATTTTAATTTATATTGACAAATCATAAGACACTATAATCCCATACAAGTATGCTCACTCATTAAAAGTCACCATATATAATATTCAATTAATAATAATTTGTAAACAATCGTGATAACGTGAGAAGAGGATTGATAAGTAATATCAAGTCATTGTTCGACGTATAATAGTCGATAATATAAAGGAACACGAGTTAAATTGTAGAAATACGGATTGGAAGGAAATTGCCTAAGTTAAACCTTGTTTTTCTTATTGCTAAAAGGAAACTAACATGTTGAACAACAATAAACTTACGACGAATATTTCCACACCGGTTTTCTTGTACAATTCGTCGAGAGAGATGAACTCTGGTGGGTTCCTGTGGTGTTGTAAGCGTTGATCACTTGTCTCGTCGTCCATATACCACGCCTTGTTCATGTTTAACTTTTTTAAAGGTATTTAAAAACTAAATTAATTCTTGCGAAACTACGCAACGCAGCAAGCAGCAATCGCACGCAAATCGCAATAAAACTTTTTGACATTGACAACCAACTGTCAATGTCAAAAAACTAGTTGCCAGATTGCAATTACATATGAATTTACCCCATATTTTAATTCGGACTACCCAATCACAGATGGCGCTTTAGTAGTCTAAGCATTTTTTAATGATTTTTTTTTCAAGTTGTAAGTTTTGGTACGCGCTCTCTCATTTAATCGTTTCACTGTTGCTTAGGTCTTAGTGAATTCATTTTAGAGACATCACTGGTTAGTTTAAAAAGGTGAAAATTTTACTTTCGTGTCAAAACTACATGAATAATGTTACATTGCATGAAAAGTAACTTGTGTATTACATAAAACTAGAAATGGACATGAATTTATTTAGTTTTTTAAATTGTTACTTATTTATGTTTGTTACAACTTAGTCTCAGAATTCCTACACCTTGGGGAAATTTTGTTATATAGTAACCCTTGAAAATGCTCGTGATCGGCCCGCGATTTTTGAAAAAGGCAACAAGAGTTAGCTGAGCCTTTCGGGAGTCTTTGGGGTTTACTCCTCAGATTGTGACCTTATTCAAAAATGTTCCAGGTATTTAGTACTATTGTATTCTACCACATCCTTCACTTGGATTCGAAGTAACAAAATTGAAATTCCGTTTTTATTGGAGGATTGAAAAGGAAACCGTAACCGCACGTACATAGGTACTTATTATGTATGTTTTGGATGTAGGTAAGTATTCCATGTAAATAAAAATTCAGGTTTGCAAGTAAAAATAGATTTAATACCATTAATAATAATCTAGATTATTACAATACTAATCTGTTTCACAAACCAAGTACATTAATTTTACTCTTACGAAGGTAATTGGGGGTTTCTTTGTCTACACTTTTTACACAAAATATCTTTGCCTAGCACCGGAAATATTAAGTGATATTACGGAAAATAAATTATGGCCACTTAAAAAAAGTTTTGGAATTTGCATCTTATAGGTAGTACACTGGTTACAAATATTATTTTTAATTTCTTAAAGATCATACACTATCTAAATTGATATGACAATTTTGTAAGAAGCTAGTTTTCCTTGGAAAAGTCTTCATGTGAATGATGATGAGGAAAACGATGATTGCTAATCATCATTATTTCAATAGATAGGTATTCTTGATATTTAAGTCTGCGATTTTAGAACGTAAATCATGCGTAAAACCATAGTAACTTTAAAGTATTTAGTTAGTTTAGAGCAGTGAAACGGTTTTTTTGTAGAGTAGGTAGATAAAGCAATAACTTAGCAAATAAGTGTGTAACATTGTACATAGTAGTTTAATGTATAATTTTCGAAATATAACCACAGACTTAAATATTTCAGGTGTAGGTAAATTAACCCTGTAATTGAGGACATAAAATTCACACATTGTTCACTGAAAATGCCGACAATGATCATTCCGAATTGTACTCACATCTTAGGTAGATAATAGGTATTTTATTATTTTACATACTTGAAGAAGAAATTTAAGACAGATCTATTAAGACTTGAAGATATTAGAATTACTCGTAGATATTTAAATATTTTTTACATTTCTCATGGTTACCATCATAAAGATGTTTGCAGTTCTTTTGATTCTAAAAGTGCAAAGTATTAGGTACTTAAGATACACAAGTAAATCTCTTATTTATAAATACATTACTTTGGGCAGATAAATAGGTACAATAGCATTTAAAGAAAAATAGTTAAGTATGGCTTAAGATGAGGAAAATCTGCCGAAGTTTCAATACTCGTATTGAACTTTGTATGTTATTATCATATACATTTAATACATTATTCGTGAAACAGATAAAATTAAATTTTCAAACAATAAAGCTGTAAATGCAACAAAATCATTCTCAAGAAATAAAATCAATGGACGGAAGTCGAAATCACGAAGCCAATTAAAAATCATTAAATAACATTCTGAGAAAATCGTTGATAATCGAAAATGACAATAATAAAATCAACGTCTTGTTCTTCTCCAACATAAAATCTTTACTAACTTTAAACAAATCAATCACAAGAAAAAAAATATTTTGTGTATTTCATCATTGCAGTGGAAATAAAGGAGCAACAGATTCACGTATACACGTCTATGATGTTTTTTTTACCACTTGGTGATTAACGCATTAAGATTTATTGTAATTTTTCACACATAACCTACCTTTGTTTTGTCAAAAATTCGCATTATTTTAAAATATTTGTTTATTTACAATACAACCCAGTAAGTACAATTTTTAATAAGTTATTATTATTTGAAAAAAAAAAACACATGTTAGAGTACGCAAGTATTCTAGTTGTCATCTTCAAGCATGTATTATCATCAATAAATCTTTGTGTTTAAAATCATATTCACATATGTGTGGCTTGAGGCTGGTGTGAAAACGTGGAGAGGCAAGAACATTTATTAAGACAAAGAAATCATGAGTCATGTAAAGGCTCCTAGAGCAAGATACTTTTACAATTTGGTATCTTTGCTACGCGAGATTTGGTAGTAGGTATTAATTATTCTGTGTACTAATTCAATTAGTCCACACAAATAAAGGTCTTTTGATTTTACACATTCGGCCCGTCTCATGCAAATATACGCTCCTCACATGTCCGATACACGCCACATGCTTGCATATCTTTGCATATATTTGGCAGCAGGTACTAATTATTCTGTGGTACTAATTCAATTAGTCCACACAAATAAAGAGATGTTTATCTTGATTTCGCGCATTCGGCCCGTCTCATGCAAATAGCGTACACCCCTCACATGTCCGATACACGCCCTATGCTTGCATATCTTTGCTACGCGAGATTTGGTAGAAGGTACTAATTATTCAGTGGTAATAATCAATTAGTCCACACAAATAAAGAGGTCTTTTGATTTCGCACATTCGGCCCGTCTCCTGCAAATATCGTACGCCCCTCACATGTCCGATACACGCCCTATGCTTGCATATCTTTACTACGCGAGATTTGGCTGCAGGTACTAATTATTCTGTGGTACTAATTCAATTAGTCCACACAAATAAAGAGGTCTTTTGATTTCACGCATTCGGCCGACTCATAGAAATGTCGTACGCCTCTCACATGTCCGATACATGCCCCATGCTTTCATATCTTTGCTACGCGAGATTTGGTAGTAGCTACTAATTATTCTGTGGTACTAATTCAATTAGTCCACACAAATAAAGAGGTCTTTTGATTTCACGCATTGGGCCCGTCTCATGCAAATGTCAAATGTCGTACGACTCTGACATGTTCGATACATGCCCCATGCTTGCATATCTTTGCTACGTGAGATTTGGTAGCAGGTACTAATTATTCTGTGGTACTAATTCAATTAGTCCACACAAATAAAGAGGTCTTTTGATTTCACGCATTGGGCCCGTCTCATGCAAATATCTGTTACACGCTCCACATGTCCGATACATGCCCCATGCTTGCATATATTTGCTACGCGAGATTTGTGGTAGTAGGTACTAATTATTCTGTGGTACTATTTCAATTAGTCCACACAAATAAACATATATTTCTTTTGATTTCGCGCATTCGCCCGACTCAGAAATGTCGTACGCCTCTTACATGTCCGATACACGCCCCATGCTTGCATATCTTTGCTACGCGAGATTTGGTAGTAGGTACTAATTATTCTGTGGTACTAATTCAATTAGTCCACACAAATAAAGATATGTTTGCAAATGTCATACGCCTCTTACATGTCCCATACACGCCCCATGCCTTTATATCTTTGCTATGTGAAAAAAAAATGTGCTATACCTTTAACAAGAAAATCCTGGATTTATTAAAATATGATTGATACACAATGAGATCACATCATCACCTACTATCAATTTTACTGGTATTTAAAAAGAAAACTAAAAATAATCTGCCATACAAATTAACTTCCCATAAAGCTGAGGCAGAAATGATAAAATTAATGTGCAGCAATAAAAAAACGCATAAAAACTTAAATCTAAAAAGAAAATTATCACAACAATCATGTATTTACAAGTTCGCATATTAAAATAGTGTCAAATCATTTCACTCTAATATAAATTAGTAAGAATTACATTAATTAATTATTATTATTAAAATGTATCATCAAAATATTTTATAATCTTTACACTCTAAATATCTTACTGTTGATTGCATTCATCTGCGTCTTTAATTAAAACAATTAATATTCTTTAAATTAATACTTTCATCTAATTAAGACAAATATTTATTGTAATTTAACTTTTAAAGTAAATACTTTATAATATAAAGCATTGATATTGTCATGAAAACAATATTTATTTTGGGCAAGTCCAATCTAAACAAATCCCTGATAGGTGGTAATATTAAATTTTATAAAATCACTGAAAAGACGAAATAATAAATAATTATTATTTGGTCATTTTCAAGACGAAAAATTCAAATATTATTATATTGTTATTATGTAATAGGCCGGTATTACAATTAATATTGCGTAGATACTTCCCAAAGTACCTTCAAACCTACTTAGTAGATATACATTAAATTACGAAGTCAAAATCTTCATTCTAATCCATTTACAGTAAACACCGAGAGAATTCCGCACCAGAGTCTTGATCTAAATCTAGAAAGATTATTTAAATATTCATGTAAAAACATGAACTTTTTACTAAACGGATTATGTCAAAAGTAAATCAGACTGAACCCTTTTATTTATTTCCATTCCATCTGTAACGAACCATTTCCAAAAGAATAACACCTAATGACGTAAATATCAGGTTTAAATAATCTTACAAAGATCATTAATTTTCCTCAAGAAATTCAAGTAGAATTTCAACAATGCAAGACATTAAACCTGCGGGTCTAGACAAAGTGCAAATTATAATCGCAAACCAGTCGCAAAGTGGTCGAAAAGCCCCTTTTTTGTATGGAGTTTTGACGGATTCGATTTTCGATTCGATCAAAAAGTGCGTTTTGTCTAGGGGGGCTGAGATGGTTCCACGTCATATCCTGACGTTTATTCTCTTTGGTCATATTTTAGGATAATAATAAATCTAGATTCAAGACTCCGAATTAGAAATTCAAACTATTAGTCGAAAACACGGATGGCTACACAACGGAGTTACTAACACTACAGTTTCGTGTGTTTCACTGTGTCTGTCCAGTAGTTCTGGATGGTCATGGCCTCTAAGGAGTTCAGGAACGAGTCGTTGTCAAGGCTGTACATCTCCTCGGAGTTGTCCTGGAAAAGAAAAGAAGATCAGGTGACAAACACAAACGTAACGAATCTTATAAGAATCTAAATCAGGTGAGATGCCAAGAGCTTCCTCGTTGTGAATAAAAAAAGTAAGTAAAGGATGCGGGCAGCGCAGTACGGGTCGGTCGTTATGGAAATCCTTGGGGAAGGCCTTTGTTCAACAGTGGACGTCATTGGGCTGAAACGACCGAACGAACAAAGCTATTACGAGATAAAGTAAATCAGATGGAGCAAAGAAACGTGTATTTTGTAGATACTATTCTTATATTTAAAGTAAGCACCAAGACCTCAATCACTCGCCCAACATCACGCAAGAAATGCTTATCGCAAGTCATCGGTGTATCGTTAGATACTCTACAAATAAATACAAGAAATCGGCAAAACATGTTTCTAGCGTAATCTCTTTCGGGCGTGACGACTTTATTTATATCCAATCATAAATCGCAATGTAATGACAGGACCTTGCTAGCATGATGATAGGACTTGTATTGCAAAACAGCACAACAAGTTCACACTTTGTTAGGTCTCGAAAATAGCTGTTCTTTACATGTTATTTATTGGTCAGAGTTTTGCACCAGTAGTTTTTTTTAATAGAAAGTACCCATTTGTCTATCCTACAGTATTTATTCCCTAAATGTAACGTAATCTTTGATTCCAATGATACAAAAATACTCACCCGAATAGTACTGTCGTCAAGATATCCACTCGAGTCCGGATTGGAGCACTTGTCATTCAATGTTTGAGGTTTGTTTAGATACCGTCGCCTGTACAGGACGAACGCTGTGCTGCCGGCGAGCGCTGCTAGGACAAGCGCAGCGAACGAAATGCCAGCAATCGCTCCCATGTCCATGTCACCTTCCCCAGGGTCCTTTATCCTCCGGGAAGACTCAACGTTAGGCGGAATACGCGTCTGCACGAACGCAGTCTCAAGAGACAGAGGTTTCTCGGTCACTATCCTGCTCTCCGAAGCGCCTTCGAGACTCGTATCGTCTTTGACGAAATCAAGTCTCGTCAAATTGCGTTTCTTTGAAGTAAACGTTGCATTCTGCTCTTCGGTTGCATTCGATGAGACCACAGTTGCGTTGGTTACGGTCACGTTACTAGGAGTGGAAGTATCATTAAAATTCAGGTCCGAAGCGTTGGTGGGTATCCATTGTATGGACGGGTGGACGATTTCTACTGTTGAATTGTCAGTTGTGACATTAGCCGTGTCGAGCTCTTTGTCAGTTTGGTTGGTGCTGGTGTTGAGGGCGGGTGTTTTGGCGGTGGTGAGGGAGGGGGTCTTCGTGTAGTACATGGCCCGACCCTGCCGGTCCATTTGTCTTCTAAGGTCGGTCTCTACGTCTGTGGTTATATGCTGAAGCTCTTCTGATTGGGGCGCAGCTAGGGCTCGGCCGCTGCTCTCTGGAAATAAGAAAAGAAGTCTTGCATATGAGAGGTACTTTCCATTTATTGGACAACGACTTAGTACTTTATTTTTTGTAGCAGCTCTTAATATACAATATGGCCTAACTAGGTAGTATCAATTTGAACTCTATGCTTTCACGTGAACGCGTTAAAGTATAAAATACAATAAACACAATAAGAGGAAAATCTTCACGATTCAGTAAAGACTGAACGTATGCATAATGCAACAGGTTGCATTGCATATGCTGGGATTTGCATAAGTGACCTGAAGCCGGCTACAAGGTTGTTTGAAAGACACGTGGAGTTCGGAGGGCCTAGTGTGAGTTTACATCAAACGCGCTCACTAGTGAGCACGTAAAAAAATGACATTAAATGTATGACGGATTGTACAGCGCCCCTAGCGGGAAACGTTCAAAAACTAAAATTTTCATACATTTTTTAAACTCACATTCAGCCCACAGACGAGTTATCGTGAACTGGCACACTCTTCTTACAGTAAAACAAAATATTGTAATAATACCGAGTTTTATGAATTTAATGCCCTGAAAGAATATAAAAACATATTTTCATAGTCACATGAATTCGTGATTTTTCGTGATTGGTTTCAAAAATATTATAACTTTATAAGGGTGTCCCACGTCGCTACAAAATATGGAATACTCGTATAGTGATTGACAATACGTCACAAACATTTATGCTTTGTAAAAAAGGGGTTCAGTGTTCTGTATTGTCTTTGCGTGTATTTTAAATTCATGAAACGGCAGCGGCTTGTCATCAACATGAATACGCGAAGTGATAGTTGAACAATGTCGTCAAATACAAACTCAATTGGATCATGAAAATAACGCTTCATTTAGTATGAATAAATTAAAATGATGCACTGACTACTTGCATTAATATTGGTCTAAGAAACACGGGCAGTTATGAGCGCTGGTTCTTCGAGAATTTGACCACATTATGCCTTGGAACGGGAGTGGTAAAGTTAATGTTTGAAAAGTTATATTGATGTGTGTAAACATGGAGCTATTTACTAAAAGTTTGTTTTTCTACCTTCAGAATAGGTACTGACTTTGTTGACTGGCAGAGAATGCCACTTGGCATTAAGTCCGCCACTGTGCAAAAGTATAAATAAATAAATAAATACTGGCATCTGGAATACCTAACTTTTGCCATTAACTTATAGTTAGTAATATTTAATTAATAGAGCCAAAAAACTAAAATTTAAACACAAAGTTCCAAACCATCCCTTTTCCAATCTCTCAACTTACATACCTACTTTATTTACCAATAATGACCCTTCCCCTGGCTGGCCCAACGCTGTTTGACGTTTATTTGGCATGAGACAAGGATGTGACAATAGCGATTCATTAGGGATCACCATTAATTTTCCGCTTCAACTACGCAGCGCCCGTGGGACGCAAAACGATGATTTAATTTGTCCAGCGTGGCGGGAAAATTTTCAGCGAAACATGCGCTGTACGAGTCCATTACAGAATTTATGTGTTACGTAACGTCAATGAACGTGAACAAAACAATTGTGTAACGCAAATACATTTAATGTAACACATTTTTTATTACAAGTAAACCGGTACAAAAGAATGCCGGTTAAATTATTAGATTATTAGATAAAGTGATTAGTGATTTAGAATAATCAGTAAAAAAGTTTATTCAACAATTAATGCACTAATTAATTTTAGGTAAATTGGAAGTTAGTTAACTGTTCGACATTTTAATAATTAATACAAGTTAATAATAAGAAAATATAAATTAGATAGGTACATGACTTATTAAATGTAACGCGTAACAAATTGTACAATATCTGTAATTGTGCATAATTATTTGTAAGAATATTTAAATAATAAGCGTTACTTTAGTAAGTAAATGAGGCAGATTTATTTTATTTTATTATTAAGCAGAAATATAATTTTTAACAAGTCAATTACAATTAAATAGAATTATATAAAAAGCGCGTTAAAACGTTTTTAAAGAATACAAATAAACACTAAAAAATAATCATATTTACCTACTATAATAAAGTAGCCCGATTATTACATCAATAAATAAGTAGGCTGAGTACATTATTTACACGTTTTTCGGTTAAGTATCGATTTATAATTTCGTCGTCTATCATTCTGTTGGAAATTACAACTTGTGAACGCACGCAAGTCACTCGTAGTTTATTTTAGCTTCTAATTATATTGACTGCATACTTTATTGTTTATTTATACATAAATATTATGTAATAAAGGTATAAGCAATTTAGTAATAAGGCTATTGTGTAAGAATTGATATACTCGTACGTTTTTGCAGGTAGTTTCAGAGTGCGAATTGAATTTTATTGAATGCTCCTGCTTCGGTTCAATTATTATTTGAGTCAACAATTTTCACATACAAGCGCTTTTAAAAATATCCTGGAGAGACAGTGGAAAGATACGAGTATAAGTAAAACCAATAATTACTGCAATACCTTTGTATTCAGATCAGACAGTATTAAAATCTTCAGGGGGCTTAGTGTGAGTTTACACTTTACATCAAACGTCTTCATTAGTGAAAAAAAGGACATTAAAAGTATGACGGATTGTACAGCGACCCTAGCGGATACTTTCAAGAACTAAAATCTTCATAGATTGTTTTAACGCGCTCACTAGTAACGACGTTTGAATATGTAAACTCACACTAAGCCCTCAGTTGAGTCTGTCTGTATTTGTACAGACATAACTTCGACAAACGAGATAATTAGACTAAGAGCTAGTGAACGCTAGACCTACGTCATTTTATAAAAGCTGAAAGTTTGTCAGCGTATGCTCCCAATATAGGATATAATGTTGGTAAATTATGGAGTTTGGGTCGTGGTGGCTTTGGGAGCTACCCTAAAAAAACTGTCTGGCAAGGAGTTGGAACTGTCAAAACTGTCTGGCTGTTGGGGAAAATACTTGTAATTATTGCCCAAATATTATACATAAAAATCAGATTTAATGGTATAACATTGGTAGAATTACAGTCTATTGAATATACAGAAAAAGCCACCGTAAAAGTTAGATTTACGTTACACTATAAAATAGCTCCCAAAGCCACCACGACCCAAACTTCATAATTCACCAACATTATATCCTATATTGGGAGCATACGCTGACAAACTTTCAGCTTTTATAAAATGACGTAAGTCTGGCGTTCACTAGCTCTTAGTCTAATACCTACGTAATTAAGGTTCATCTAAATCAGTTGACTACAGGATACACAAGCGTATCCTGTAGTATACCGACTAAAGAGAAAGTGGTTACATTTTTTAAATGAATCAACATAATTTGCGTCCATTATGATTAGGTTTTCATCCACCAGTAGTTCCCTTTCCTGTTGCGTGCTGTATGTTATATTTCGTAATCCGATCGAGGCGAGTCAGGGTGACCAAGCGACTGGGGAAAATTGGGAAAATTTCAGGAATTACTTATTTATTTATTTATTTCAGGACAGCTAACAAGACACAATTAACTGAAAAAAAAAACATTGAAAACAATACGTGTTTGTTTATAGTGTAGCCTTATTAACCTTTAAAGTCCCAGACGGCATATATTAATGCCATAATTATTGATTATCTATTGTGTCTAGATTCGCGGGCCTTGAAGGATTAAAGCGGCCACGACATGTGCATAAATTGCGTGAAGCGTAGTATCGACTAAAGTCTAAAAAAATTTTAAAATTTAATAATTTAATTCAAGCCAGGAATCCAGCATATCAACGGCATGTCCAAAACATTCAAGTAAAACCTTCAATATTGTTTTAACGCTTTTAGAGTAAAATACTGACATGAAGCTGATTAAATGGCTGCAGCTGCAACAAACAGGTGTTTGATTGATTTGGTGATAGTGTGATCTGGGGGCACGGCAGTGCCTCCACCAAGTCGAGCAAAAAAGCGGCACGGCCGTACCATCCTTTTCTCGAAGCAATTCAGGCCATTTTCGACCGCCTGTAACTTCGTTGTAGATAAAACTAGAAGGCTGAATTTTCATTAGCTATGCAGGCATTGTAAAGACACGGTATATTTAAAATTTCATTCAATTTGAATCAGTAGTTTAAGAATTATAANCGTTCAAATTGATTTATAATCGGCGGAGATATTGCGTATAAAAAAGTTCATCCCCAATTTTCCACCCTTGGGGGTTGTTTTTTCTATTATAAAATTTAAATGGGACCACCCTTGAGGTATTACCTATACGCCGAAAAAAGATTTGTTCAAATCGGTTTATAATTGGCGGAGTTATCGCGTAACAAACATAGAAAATAAAAAAAAAACATACGGGTCGAATTGAGAACCTCCTCCTTTTTTGAAGTCGGTTGAAAAGCGCGTTAAAACGTTTTTAAAGAATACAAATAAACACTAAAAATAATCATATTTACCTACTATAATAAAGTAGCCCGATTCTTACATCAATAAATAAGTAGGCTGAGTACATTATTTACACGTTTTTCGGTTAAGTATCGATTTATAATTTCGTCGTCTATCATTCTGTTGGAAATTACAACTTGTGAACGCACGCAAGTCACTCGTAGTTTATTTTAGCTTCTAATTATATTGACTGCATACTTTATTGTTTATTTATACTTAAATATTATGTAATAAATTATGTATAAGCAATTTAGTAATAAGGCTATTGTGTAAGAATTGATATACTCGTACGTTTTTGCAGGTAGTTTCAGAGTGCGAATTGAATTTTATTGAATGCTCTGGAATGCTCCTGCTTCGGTTTAATTTTTATTTGAGTCAACAATTTTCACATACAAGCGCTTTTAAAAATATCCTGGATAGACAGTTGAAAGATACGAGTATAAGTAAAACCAATAATTACTGCAATACCTTTGTACTCAGATCAGACAGTATTAAAATCTTCAGGGGGCTTAGTGTGAGTTTACACTTTACACCAAACGTCTTCATTAGTGAAAAAAAGGACATTAAATGTATGACGGATTGTACAGCGACCCTAGCGGATACTTTCAAGAAC